ATCTAATCTAATTATCTATCTGAATCCATCCACCCACCCATCCATCCATCCATCCAACCAACACATACACACATATATTCACATATATTGTGATTAGGATAAACCTATTGAATAGGGTTGCAGACTTGGCCTAGGTAAATCAAGTCCACCTAAAGACTAAAACCACCATTATTGAAATTGGCAATAAGAACAGAATCTTTCAAGTCTGATTATTCCAAACTGGTAGGGAGACATGGCAGCCCTCATCCACGTTTTGGCAACTTGACATTGGAATATTTATTGACTGACCAAAAGATGGCAGCAGAGACACAGTTTGAATTACTGTGTGCACTTTGCCTAAGATCCAAGTTAACAATTGCAGTTTGCATTTTTAAAAATGGAGGAAACTGCCATGTTTATTCTCACAGGTTTAGTTGCCACTTGAAAATCTAATTTATTCGTGTTTCTGCTACTTCTTCTATTTAACCTTTTCTTTATTTGGACCTTGAATAAAAACCATTCTATTCTTTAAAATCCTTTCTGCCCCCCCCCCTTTTGCTTTAATTAATATATTGTCTGATGAAAATTCCAATGACTTGGAAAGTGTGCCCCAGGTTTTTTGCCTGTTTGGCTGATCCTTTATATAGAACTACAATACTTTTTAAGATATATATTTATAACTGTAGTTTGAGTATTTTTAAGTTAGTTTCGAGGATCACTTTGAGCTTCCTGTCAGAAAAACAGAGCTGGGATATCAACTAAAATGAGGATGCCACCTTAAAGGCCTTTTATAGTGTAGGAAGTTATCACCCAGCCCTCTCCCAGAAAAATGAAATATCCTAGGAAATATTGAAAAGGCAGAATATTATATTTCCCTGGATGTGAAAAGGAAGAAACATGTTTTATAAAGAGAAAATAACGTCCTGTAGCTTCCTGCCTCCACCTCCTTTGTCAATGGGACATTAAGAAGGCCAAGCTAGTCCCTTTGCATAATAAAGAGTTCTCCCCTTCAGCTTCAGGGGCATGGGATTAAGGCATAATATTGGCACTTTACCCAACTCACCACATGGCATCTGAGAATTCAACCAAACCTGGATTCAAAACGCAGCCTAGAGAGTTGCCTCTGTATGGCCCTATGGGAGTCTGACAACCAATTAGAATACAAGCTCAAGATCAAAGGCCAG